CCTTTCGATCCCCAACGACACGATGGAAGAAGCCAGTCGGAGGCATCTCGTATGTGTCTCGGACCACGTATAGCTAGTGTCATCGTAAACAATAGATGGACAATCTCCGTAGACAATGGCAGCTCTTTCCAAGAATCCCAAAGGAGTTAAAGCGCATGCATTTGGTGCTGATCTTGAATTTATCCTTTCAGTCTGTTGATTTTCGACAAAGTCCAAACTGGTCAAAGCATTGGAGATTGACAGAGCTGAATGGGATTTTCTAGCATATTGTTTCGCATATGGGAAATTATTTGTAAGCCATGTTTTGTTCTGTGATATAGCTGGTTTTTCCTGGAAGCCTGCTGACGATGAAGAGAGGAGCCATTGACTTGTAGCTCTTAGCTTGAGAGGATACATAACTTTAAAATTAGTCTTTTGGTTTAGTAGGGCTGCTTCTTCTCCGAGAATGGTTGCCTCAATATATAGCAACGTAACAACCTAAAACATTTAATGCATAGATTATAACTTTAATTTAGAACGATTTAATGAACTTGACCAAAGTTTTGCTCAAGCAACTTGAATCTAGAAATTACAATTTGTATCAGTTAATACCTATGTTGTTAGGAATGGTCTAAGGGCCTGTTTGAGAGGAATTTTTTCACCCAACAAATTGATTTTTCGACCATTATTTCACTATTCCAGTTGTCATATTTGACTTCCTCTCTCATAGGTGGACCCCACTTTTCTCCTAACGGTCAAAAAATTAATTCTCAAAATCACTCCCAAACAGATTCTAAGTTGAGAAGGGTAAATGACGATGGAGTTACAGAAGTTGCAATAATCTCATGAAAAAAGAAATGTAATCTCTAAACTTTATGATATTTACCTTGATTAATCACTAAAAAATCAATTCGGAGTCCAAAATATATAGGTGATGATTATTTAGATAATGGAATACTTATGTGGACAACTTTGACGTTAATTGTCCGACTCAATGGTGATTTTTATAAAAGAAAGTTAGTATCGATAGAATTATACCTATTTTGTATTATTCGATCTAGCATATTCTATTTGATCATAGATTACTTGAAAGGAGACAACCATGTTTTTTCCCCTATAGTAAAAGTCCAAACTCATGTGACATAAATTGCCCTTTAGTTTATGTTAACGAAATCGATTTGAGTAACAAATAGTATACTTTAAAGTTTGTGAACCATTTAGGTGCATGTTTATACGTTCATAAAAATACCATGTCTAAAACAAAGAAAAATACTGAATGTACACTCTACATGTGAGTGGGTCTCACGATTATTAAAATAGTGAAAAATGTTGCTCGATAGCCTCTAACATCCACTTGTGTGATGTGAGAGGTCGTTAAAATTGATGTAAAAAATATTGTACATGAAGCATAATTATAAAACAATTTTATGAATGCAGATATAACTATATTCAGAACAAATTTTTGAATTTGATCAAAGTTTGATTGAACCACTTGAATGGATACCAGAAAAGGGTAATAATCGTGGGATCCACTCGTGTGATGTGAGAGGCTGTCAAAATTGATGTAAAAAATGCTGTATGTGAAACATAAATATAAAACAATTTTACGACTGCAGATATAACTATATTCAGAACAAATTTTTGAATTTGATCAAAGTTTGATTGAACCACTTTAATAGATAACAGAAAGGGTTAGGTACTAGTATTAAATAATAGCACTATACCGGAATGCAGGCTATACAGGACTAGGTCGCATTTGTAGTGTACAACTTTAAAGATGTCAACCTTATCAATCATATTTAAACCCCGGCCCCATTTTGTAGAGTTTAAAATTGGTGGAATAGTATTTTTTAAAAAATGAATGGTTGAAAAAAAAAAAATTTTAATTTACATGTAATATTATTTTATGAAAAATTTTATGGTTAAAAATAGGAGAGAGAATAATGTAATGTAATGTAATAAAAATTAATGGAAGCCAAACGAAGGCTAAATGATACCTGCAGTCTAGCACTTTCTATATTGAGGGTCTGTTATTCCAAAAAAATGCATTCTTAAACAGTGATTTGACATCATTTCAAGTACACATTTTTTAATAAAATGATATTACACGTAGATCAAAAAGTTTTCCTTATTTTTTAACCACACATTTTCTATCAGCACACTATTCAAGAATGCATTATTACCAAAATAATGTGGCTCAAACGCCCCCTAAATGAATAATATTATCTAGCACAAGTAATATTAGATCATTAGTTTAGGTAGATACTTATATATCTTCAGTTTATCTTTTTAAGGTAAATTTCGTATGTACTATCGATATATTAAATAAATAATGTTATCTAACAGTGATAATATTTGAGCATCAATTTAGGTAGCTACTTTATATGTTCAATTTACCTTTAAGGTAAATTTCATATGTGGTTAGCAAATTTAATTAAGTTTTAAATTTTATCAAATCACGATCCGTGCAGACATTCATCTACGTCCAAGGTTAGACATTCATTTTGATGATGGCCAATTCCTACACATTACTTTGAATTGATAGGAAAAGTTGCTTCTATAGCATTGGAAACTTAAGCATCCAAAAAGGAGGAACGAGAATGTGGGTGTCTTCCAAAGTGATTAAATCTGGTAATTGGCAATCATGCCGTGGTATATCTTCCACGTAACTACTGCATCGAATACAAATTTATCTCTACGTCACGTCATAAAAGTCTTAATATATATAGTGAAATACAATCCACAAAATAATTTGATCCATGGTTACGATTCTACCATATATGTCTTTTTCATTCCGTCTAAATCGATTTTACGGTATGGACGCTTATGACTTCCCCTCTATGCCTTGTAGTAATGATTCCTCTTGCATTACGACCTTTACCATAATGATGCTGTCCATATATCAAATTATTTCATGGATTGAATTTTACTTGACTATCCACGGTTTCATTGCGTGTGTTCGGGATAGAAGTTTTGTATAAATTTATCGAGATCCGAAGCAAATTATGCAAAGGCTTCTGATTCTACGAAAAGATAGGGTTGGGCAATATTTTGATGGCTAATTTATGGAATTGTTGCTTTCTATTAAATATTTAAATTAGATGGCCATTTAATAGGAGATAGGGTTGGGCAATATTTTGATGGCCAATTAATTGCGGGTAGGGTAAGATGTCTTTGGTCAAATCCGACATGATATAGCCTGTTCGAATTACTTCCAATCAAATATAGTCCCTTTTTGAGTCCCATTTTGATGAAAATTTAGTTTTGTAATAACGCTTTTTTCGAAAAACATGCGATTAAAAATATAAAAGATTTTGAATTTATATGAAAATTTATTTATTGTAAGAATGCGTGATTGAAAATGAGTTTGGAGAAAAATGAATTTTAAGAAAATAGGGCTAAAATGTTGCTCGATAGCCTCTAACATCCACTTGTGTGATGTGAGAGGTCGTTAAAATTGATGTAAAAAATATTGTACATGAAGCATAATTATAAAACAATTTTATGAATGCAGATATAACTATATTCAGAACAAATTTTTGAATTTGATCAAAGTTTGATTGAACCACTTGAATAGATACCAGAAAAGGGTAATAATCGTGGGATCCACTCGTGTGATGTGAGAGGCTGTCAAAATTAATGTAAAAAATGCTGTATGTGAAACATAATTATAAAACAATTTTACGACTGCAGATATAACTATATTCAGTACAAATTTTTGAATTTGATCAACGTTTGATTGAACCACTTTAATAGATAACAGAAAGGGTTTGGTAGTAGTATTAAATAATAGCACTATACCAGAATGCAGGCTATACAGGATTAGGTCGCATTTGTAGTGTACAACTTTAAAGATGTCAACCTTATCAATCATATTTAAACCCCGTTTGGCCCCATTTTGCAGAATTGAGAATTGGTGGAATAATATTTTTTTTAAAATGAATGGTTGAAATTTTTTTTTTTTCAATTTACGTGTAATATTATTTTATGAAAAATTGTGTGGTTGAAAATAGAAGAGAGAAAAATGTAATGTAATGTAATAAAAATTAATGGAAGCCAAACGAAGGCTAAATGATACCTGCAGTCTAGCACTTTCTATATTGAGGGTCTGTTATTCCAAAAAAATGCATTCTTAAACAGTGATTTGACATCATTTCAAGTACACATTTTTTAATAAAATGATATTACACGTAGATCAAAAAGTTTTCCTTATTTTTTAACCACACATTTTCTATCAGCACACTATTCAAGAATGCATTATTACCAAAATAATGTGGCTCAAACGCCCCCTAAATGAATAATATTATCTAGCACAAGTAATATTAGATCATTAGTTTAGGTAGATACTTATATATCTTCAGTTTATCTTTTTAAGGTAAATTTCGTATGTACTATCGATATATTAAATAAATAATGTTATCTAACAGTGATAATATTTGAGCATCAATTTAGGTAGCTACTTTATATGTTCAATTTACCTTTAAGGTAAATTTCATATGTGGTTAGCAAATTTAATTAAGTTTTAAATTTTATCAAATCACGATCCGTGCAGACATTCATCTACGTCCAAGGTTAGACATTCATTTTGATGATGGCCAATTCCTACACATTACTTTGAATTGATAGGAAAAGTTGCTTCTATAGCATTGGAAACTTAAGCATCCAAAAAGGAGGAAGGAGAATGTGGGTGTCTTCCAAAGTGATTAAATCTGGTAATTGGCAATCATGCCGTGGTATATCTTCCACGTAACTACTGCATCGAATACAAATTTATCTCTACGTCACGTCATAAAAGTCTTAATATATATAGTGAAATACAATCCACAAAATAATTTGATCCATGGTTACGATTCTACCATATATGTCTTTTTCATTCCGTCTAAATCGATTTTACGGTATGGACGCTTATGACTTCCCCTCTATGCCTTGTAGTAATGATTCCTCTTGCATTACGACCTTTACCATAATGATGCTGTCCATATATCAAATTATTTCATGGATTGAATTTTACTTGACTATCCACGGTTTCATTGCGTGTGTTCGGGATAGAAGTTTTGTATAAATTTATCGAGATCCGAAGCAAATTATGCAAAGGCTTCTGATTCTACGAAAAGATAGGGTTGGGCAATATTTTGATGGCTAATTTATGGAATTGTTGCTTTCTATTAAATATTTAAATTAGATGGCCATTTAATAGGAGATAGGGTTGGGCAATATTTTGATGGCCAATTAATTGCGGGTAGGGTAAGATGTCTTTGGTCAAATCCGACATGATATAGCCTGTTCGAATTACTTCCAATCAAATATAGTCCCTTTTTGAGTCCCATTTTGATGAAAATTTAGTTTTGTAATAACGCTTTTTTCGAAAAACATGCGATTAAAAATATAAAAGATTTTGAATTTATATGAAAATTTATTTATTGTAAGAATACGTGATTGAAAATGAGTTTGGAGAAAAATGAATTTTAAGAAAATAGGGCTCAAATAGGGGCATAGCTTGTTCTAATTTGTAGAATGAATCGATTTCATAATTAATATTTTATTCTCTCTCAATTAAAATAATTTTAAAATTTTGGTGGTTGTGGTATGTTTATGAGCTTTGAAATTTTTGCCATCAACCCACGATACATTCTTTCATTTTCTGTACCTCTTTGAATTAGGAGCCACTATGAGACTATCCTACCTATATAATCTATTTTCCAAAGGTTAGGATCGGTCGACCATTTGACCTATTGAGTTCAAATCATTAATTCGATCCATTTTATTTAGGACTCGAGATTGCACTCTTTAAGTTATAAATAATTTACTAAAGTAGTAGTAGTAATAATAATAATAATAATTGACACGATTGAGTCCTCCAATCAACCATTCCAATCTGTTATCACTATTGAACAATGCTGTATGTGAAACATAATTATAAAACAATTTTACGACTGCAGATATAACTATATTCAGTACAAATTTTTGAATTTGATCAACGTTTGATTGAACCACTTTAATAGATAACAGAAAGGGTTTGGTAGTAGTATTAAATAATAGCACTATACCAGAATGCAGGCTATACAGGATTAGGTCGCATTTGTAGTGTACAACTTTAAAGATGTCA